CCTGATTATTACAAGTACGGTGCAAAAACGCATTATCGGACCGGCAACCTCGTGTATTCCAGCCTAGAGTTTAGAACATAAAGGCACAGGATTTCTCTACTTCGAGAGTTACAGTACTGACACGGCAAATCGAATTTATATTTGAACACTTACGGAAATATTTCTAGACGCAGCAGCATCTGCCACTGCGCTACTCAGTTCACTCATCGGTGGTGGCAGCTCGAATTCGCCTTGATCGGAAAATGAAGCTGTGGGATCGATCGTCGGGTCAATCAGTGCCGGATTTTCAGAAAGCGGGCCGAATTCTCGTTGGTCAGAGGTGGAATTTGCTTGATCGTCGTAGGAAGACAAGACGCTGTGGCCTGCCCCCGCACCAGCACCTGACTCCACCGAATCCTGGAAAAAATCGGCATCATACGCGAGGCACTAATGCCACTAAACAGATCACTTCCGCATACTAATACTTCTGTTCACTGATATCTTTGCTCTTCCGGATGCGCCATTACACTTATAAAATTTTGTATTTTTCTTCCAAAAAAAAGGATAAAATACGAGGTCCTCGAGTCAACTTAAGAAAATTTGTCGACAAATAAAACACCAATACAGCTTGGGTGGGTAACTTATCCAGCGCAACTGTTTATCGAGGCTAATGCTGTGACTCCAACAAACACACACAAATACCTTATTGCGGACAAGCGAACAAACTAGGAAGCTGATGAATTACAGAGATAAGGATAAATCTACCATATGCATTCTTAACTTTCAATTCGATATTCCTCACCAGGGAAGTGGCAGCTGACACTTCTGGGCCTGCATGATCTCCCAAGAGCCTAAGCATACTAGTTTTAAAGGCTAATTAATGCTAAAAAATTTTTTTTCAAGTTACAAGGGGATTTTCAATGTTCAGAAGTAGATATCGACAACGTGCACAAGAAGCGGCTTGGTACCCCAGCAAATCCTTCCTGAGATGAGCTGCAGCGAGCGTCCCCGAGAAATTCGTGCTTGCAGCTCTGGCCTATTCGTCACTCAAAAAGTCGGTCACAGAAGAAGCAATAAGCGAGCAAG